GGGAAGCCACACCACATTGGCAAGAAAGTGACTGAAGGTGAGATGCCAAGTCAAGATAGATTATATTACAGATCCTTCTTTGGATTTTATCATGAACCTCAAGATGAATAGCAGGAGCACCAGACCAGATATGGCAACAATATTCAATGCACAGACAAAATGTAGATTTGATAATGTGCAAGATGGACTCTGATAAGAAAAATCTCTGGCACAACATGGTGAGCCAACTTTCCTTGCATTAGATGCAGCTATTGACTCAATGTAGTCATTCCACTTTAAGTCAGTTGCAAATGTGAAGCCGAAAATGTGCAATGTGTTGCTCTCCATGAATCTAGCAGCAGCCATGCTGATGGCAGGCAGGAAGGTTTCTCTATGGTGGTTAAATGAGAGCAGTTTCATTTTGGGAACATTAAAATTTATAAGCCATTTTTTGCCCCAGTTAACCACTGATTGCAGGTCCTTTTCAAGAGTAGTGACTAGCTTAACTTTGTCAACTCTGACGGTTTTGCTATTGGGACAAGAGTAGTGTCATCTGTGTAAATTCCTATTTTGGAACTGATGACATCAGAAAGATCATTGATGAAGATCAAAAACAGTATAGGGCCCAGTATAGAGCCTTGTGGGGATACCCATGTTTGTGCAAAAGGATCTGGAAGTGAGCCTGTTCAAAACGACCTTCATTTCATGATTTGATAGGAACGGTTGGATTAAGTAAAATGATCATTCTGTAATACTGTAGCCCTGGAGCTTAAGAAGACCAGCATGTTAAACCCTATCAAATACCTTTCTATATCTAGAGCTACAGCTCAAGCTTCACCATTATTAAGAGCTTGATATTCAGTGATGGCTGTTAGTACATCAGCAGTAGACCTGGCAAAACAGAAACCATATTGTTTGTCAGACAGTAGGCTGTGAGAGGTAAGATGCTTAACCACTTCAGCATTGATTAAAGCCTCAAATACTTTATCAAAAAGCAGTAGTAGACTAAGAGTGATAGTTAGAGATGTCTAACAAGAACTGATTAATTCCAACAAACAGGAAGCAGTGACGTAATAGTTGTAGAGCTGGGAGAGAAATGGAGCCAGCACTGGAGCACATTTCTTCAGGATGACAGCTGGGATCTTGCTATCTCTGCTTGCCTTATGGGAGTCTAATTTAGAAATGATGTCCAAGAACAGTGACAAGGTTATACACATATCACTCAGTAGAACCTCTGATCCAGAGGGGAAATCATGTTTGGGTACTCAAAATAAGTAGTGTTGAGTTTGAAGACAATTTCCAAGCAAAGCATTCAATCTACTGTAGATATCAGTACTTTGAATTTATTGAATAGAGGATGGATTGATGATTTTCTTTTGTTCAGCACTCTTGCAGAGCTGCCAATAATCTTGAGAACTGAACTTGCAAGATGCTATAGGTTGTTTCATTCTATCAGTAAACAGTAACTTTGCTTCTTTGAGGACATGCTTGCACTTGTTATGAGCAGAGAGACTACTGTTGCAATCAAACATGTTGCTCTGGTACAGTCAGAAGAATTGATTCCTGTGGGTGATAGCGGCCAAGCATGCAGGTGATAACCAAGGTGATGGATATGGTTTAACAGTATTTCCTTGCTGAAATGAAAGTGTTGATATTGTCTTTCACTCAGAGGAGATCTCAGACACACAGGATGATTTAAAAACTTCATTCCAAGAGACGTTATGAAGGAAATGACAATTGACTCGTTGATAACAAAAAGATATTCTATTGGTAAAATGTTCTTGGCTGGTCAAGGAGTGGAAAGAGATATTTTCAGACACTTCCACATGATCTGAGTGGCCAAGAGGGCTGAACTTCATAGTATAACATGAGTCGGGGATAGATGTTAAAAAGAAATCTAGAAGAGAAGCATGTCCATCAGACTTACTGGGGAAATGTGTGGGAAAGTGCACCACTTGCATGAGTGATTGAGAAGTTTAGGGTTTGGATTCCAGCAAACTCATTGACAGTGTTTAAGTCACCTGGCATGATGGGTATTAAAGTCACCGAACAGAAATATATTTGCAAACAGGTGTAGGAAGATGGCCTTGTCTATATTATCACAGATAATCTAGCATACAACAGCCATGAGAAGAAGGGGAACAGAAAAGGTAGCTGACTGAGTTAATTCAAGAAAGATGGAGACACATATAAGAATGATCTGGAGATTCAAGGGAGAGTTCCCTAGCCAGCTGGGGATGTCTGTGTACCTCCCAGTCCATGCACATGGCCATTAGAATCCTTCTTAAAGAGAGGAAGGTAGCCAGGAATTGAGAAATCAAAGGTGGGGGATTGAAGAATTAAGATTAATTTCACAGAGATCTTGAATGTCTAGAGACTTTTTGAAGAGGAAAGATTCCACACTGCAGAAGTTGATACAAATGCCACAAAAGTTGGAGAAAGAAAAGTTGAAGGGGTTTAGTTTTATATCTTTAGTTGCTTATATTCATGGTGCATTATTTTGGTTCTTACCAAAAAAAAGGCCTAGAGTAGTAGTAGCAGTCTGTCATCTAATGTAAGGGAACAGGCACAGACTGCAATATAATGTGGCCTCAGGGTTGCCCACTGGAGGAGTTTTCAGAAACACCCTTTTATGTGTGACATGGTACTGTAAAAACCTTGATATTATGCAACTGCTGATTAGAGCAGCCTCTCAAGACACTCTGCAAGAGTTCAGGCTCCTCACTACCAGTCAGGAACAGCAACAAGAAAACTGTCAACCCAGTCCCCTCAGTATGAAGAAATGTTGCCACCATCAACACGTATCACAAAAAAATTGATGACAATACCACTATTAAAGCCTGAGAAAAGTAAAGGAACTGGGAACCACTTCCTAAATAGAAAATAAGGGATGAGCCTCTACTCCTGTTCAAGAGAAGGGGGGAAGAGTATAGACCAGACAGTAGGAAAGCATAACTACTATTTGAAAAAAAAAAAATAAAAATAAGTTACTAAGTTTTAACTTTAACTAAGTCAAGATGGCCATTAAAAATTCAACAAAGAATTAAAACTGGCAGACCTACCTCTAAAAGAACTTAAAAAAACTGTCCTGGGTTTGACTTTCAGTTATTTCAAAGAATAAACATTCATTTGGAGAGCTGATCTGTGGCCCACAGGAGATTTTGCCCATGCTATGTTTAACTGACATTCTATTATATTGGGGGAAGAGAAGGTAATAGGTAGTATGGGGGGGGGGTCTTTAGAATCTTACAGGAGACCCTTCAATTGCTTCTTTCCAATATTTAAATATGACACTTTATGGACAGGGCAGGCTGACTTGATTCCAATGGTGATTTGGTACAATTACAGTGACTTTTGAAGTGAATTTTTTTGATTTTTATGATTGAAGGTATACAACTATCTCTCACTTGGGACAGGTGGTGATGGTACATGGGCAGGTGAAGGGTTGATTTTCTTAATGTACCTACTTTCCATTCTTTTCTGTCAAAGAAATTTGGTTGTTCTTGATATCTGGGAAAAGAAGCAAGTTAAAATGCAAGTTTATTATTTTTTAACTTAATAAAGCCAAATATCTACTTTGTTGCATTTAATTGCTTCATTAACTTATTAGGGTATTAACAGAACAGACTATGAAAAGTGATTGTTTTTGAATACTACCAACTGGGAAATGACTGCAAGAAACTTCCTTTTGCTCAAATTTATAGTCAAATAGGAGTAGATGGTTTTCAAGGTTGAAATCTAGTTCTTGTTAACAGTTAATATACACTATTTACATTATTCGGACTATTCTCATCTTTGTCGCCATATTTGTTACAACCTTTCAGCCCTTCAGTATCTGTCTATATTTCTGAGATAAGTTATTATGTACACTATTTACATTATTCGGACTATTGTCCTCATCTTTGTTGTCATATTCGGTGGCTAGGATCAAAGTGTAGTATCTGCGCTTTGTGAGCTGCCGAGTCGGGTGTCTGTCGAACTCTCTGCTTGCAGAGAGGAACCCGATTTAAGCTCCGCCCGAAGGGCGGAGTTTCGCTCGGGAGGTTGATTTGAACTGGCCCGCTTTGGACGGGTTTAGATGGGTTTTATTTTTGGCTGGGCCTACGGGCTCAGACATACCCACATTAAAAAGGCCTTGTGCCACATTCAATTCCTGTGGGTGAATTGATAAATACCATCTTTGTTGTCATATTTATTACAACGTTTCATTTGAGGACACATGGCACAGTGGATTAGATCACATGGCACGTTGGTGACAGGACCCAAAGAGTGTGAGTTCAATACCCAGTTAAAGCAGTGGAGAACTTTCAGAGGGAAATTAACAGGAGATAACTGATAACTGAAATCCATCAAACATGGAACTAGAACAGTCTACACCAGTGAGCGAAATAAAGGGTTCAGTTCGACATTCCAACCACCTGAAGAAGGCCGGAGTATACAACGGCTGAAACGTTGTAATAAATATGGCGACAAGGATGAGGACAATAGTCTGAATAATGTACATAATACTTCATCTCAGAAATATAAACAGTTAATATATTTCAACCTTGAAAATGGCTAAATGTATAACCGAAAGTGCTTGGATAAAAATAACTATTGGACAGTTTTTATATAATTTATCATTCAAAAAGAAAAAATTATTAGATCACATGAGAAATTGTATAAAAAGCTAAATCAAAGCACCTTGTCTGTTGTATTCAATGAAATATATATATATATATATATATATATATATATATATATAATTAATAGATATTTATTTTTAATCTGCCATTTTTATTATTTCAGACATTATAATTGTGAATATTTGTATTTGAAATAAAAGCTCCAGTTGTATTACATCTAGGGGTCCATGTGTTGAAGAAATATTAATGAAGGAAATGTGCTCTCTTGCAGGAATCTAATTTATGTATGTTTAATTCCTGTCAGAATTTTCTTTCTTCATTTTGGAAAACAACTTATTCTTTTTTTTTCTCCCCCAATCTGGTAAGTGATCTAATTTACAACTTTATATCTTCCAGGTCGAATCTTGAATGTAAGCAGCTGTGGTGGAAGATTTGCAACACCAAACAGGGCAGCTTACTGCCCTTCTAAATTTGCTGTGGAAGCCTTTTCTGATATCCTGCGACTGGAGACCCAGTGTTTTGGTATCAGAGTGTGTCTCATTGAACCATGTCACTATGGGGGTGCCACCAAAATTCTTGAAGCCCAGGTAAGTAATTTCAGGCTATCTCCAAAGTGTGTCCACTCTTTAACAGCTGATCTATTTATAGCTTGAAAATTTAAAGTTCACACAGAACTTTTGAAGAAAATCTTAGAGGTTTGTGTTAATATTTTATATTTTGTATAATATTTTGTACTTTGTATATTTACGCATTACACCCTAATCTTTATTTGGTAAAAATTTCATTGCTAATCATGCATTACTTTTTAAGTTATACACCTATTTATGTCTTTGTTGTTTCCGTTCCTTATATTATGAGTGCTACTATATCTATATATATATATATATATATTTGTATAATTAGGCAGCAATCCTTCCTTTATGCATGTTTCATTAAAAACGACTGACAAGATACTACTGTTGAGCTTTTTATTTAATTTTTCTTGTGTTCTGACAAGAGATTTCTTTTCTGGACAAAGAGTGTGTAAGAACTGTCCGAATGTTCTGTGTTTCCGAGCGCTTTCGGCTATACCTTTAGCCATTATCAAGGATGGTTCAATTATCAGCTTAGTAGAGTGTGTGTTCTATGTATGTTCAGTGTGTGGTAGTGATGTTTTAGTTTCCAAATACGGTTAGCACATTGTGGCTTTGTTCATAGTTAATATTGTTAAGAGTTGGCTTTTTCTTTTTTATTATTAGAGCTTCCATTATTTTTAGTCTTTTTTTGCAAGTGGATGCAGTTAATATATTAGTGTTTTCTACTAGTATGTTCCTAATAGTGTCGGGTAAATCTGAGTGTGTGTTTAAATGTGTTCTGATGGAACTGTGATCAGATAGGTGTAATGTAAGACGTCTGGATAAACATGTGGTTGTGTAGCCGATGTAATTATTTATGAGTCCGGTTTGGTGAGGAATGCAGTTCCTTAAAGGGCATTTGAACTCATAGATAATGTTCACTTTTGTAATTTTGACTTCGTTGGTGTGTTGTTATTTTTGAGGATAAGGTTGGCCGTCTTAATTTTTTTTTTATAATATATAATAAGTTTGATTTTTTTTATCCGGTCAATAGGAGTAGTATATTTTTTTATAATATGTCTTAGAGCAGATTCGTCTTGCTTGTAATTAATATGCATTTGGTTTTTGTAATAAATGTGTATGTGATTTTTAGTTGTGTGTTCGCTATCATTATTACTTGCTTTGGGGAGGAATATTATAATTTGTTGGTCTATAAGGTAGTTAGGGAAACCGTTGTTAATTAGTGTTTGTTTAACGTTGTTAAGTTCTTTGAGAAAGAGTAGTCGAGAGGATGAGTTCTGGTGGGCTCTATTTAAAAAGTTTTTTATTACAGCTATTTTGTACCTAAGTGGACATTCGCTTTTGAAATTAAGGTGGCACGAGTTTTTGCTGGTGGGTTTTTTGTATAATGATGTAATGAAAGTGTTATTGTTATGTTCAACGAGGATATCTAAGAATGGTAATTTGTTTTTTTGGCATCCACTTGCAAAAAAAGACTAAAAATAATGGAAGCTCTAATAATAAAAAAGAAAAAGCCAACTCTTAACAATATTAACTATGAACAAAGCCACAATGTGCTAACCGTATTTGGAAACTAAAACATCACTACCACACACTGAACATACATAGAACACACACTCTACTAAGCTGATAATTGAACCATCCTTGATAATGGCTAAAGGTATAGCCGAAAGCGCTCGGAAACACAGAACATTCGGACAGTTCTTACACACTCTTTGTCCAGAAAAGAAATCTCTTGTCAGAACACAAGAAAAATTAAATAAAAAACTCAACAGTAGTACCTTGTCGGTCGTTTTTAATGAAACATGCATATATATATATATATATATATATATATATATATATATATAGAGAGAGAGAGAGAGATATAGATATAAATTTTGTGTATGACTTAACATTATTATAAAATTCTCTGAGTACAAGGCATGTTTATCATTCCTTTCCTTTCAGCCATTACGTTCCATGTGTGAAATATGTAATATCATTATATTATATCAATGATGATGAAATAATAATGCCCATAATGGGGGATGCACAAATGAAAGAATAGACCTTTCTTCCATATCTCCCCTATTTATCTGTCAACTCAACGTGACATGATTTTATTAACACTTATTTACCGATGAGCATGAGGCAATATATTATTTCACTCCTATTAGGCAGAAAGGTAAAACTCACCTAAGTTTCTTATAAACTTTGTCTAAATGGGAATTCTACTAGTATCTTCATCCTTGTTTTTTGTATGATACATGCTGTACATTCTCCAATCAAGTTCTCATACAGCATTTCTCAACCTGTGCACTTAGACACACTGATGCTCCTTGGCAGGTTGCCAAGTATACTCCAAGTTAACAGAAGAATAATTTATGAATTTAAAAAAATCTTTATTTTCAAAAAGCTAGCGTCTTTGTTATTTGATATTTTAAGTGGACACTAAATTCTTTTATAGCGAAGGAAACAGTGACTTACCTCGTCAAACCAAGCGGCAGCACATCGCGTGTATCCTAAAGATGGAAAAGAAAATTACTTAACAAAAAAAAAGGGCACATATTCTGCATGATATGCTGAAGACGGAATATTTAGATTAAAAACAAGTCCGTCGCAGGAGTCTCTATAAAAATATTTTGTTATGCAAAATACTTGGTGTCCTCTCTCAGTTGTCGACGAATGAAAAACTGCTCTGCCAATAAAAGCAGTTGGTGATCTCAAATCGAGAGGAAAAACAGTTGTATTTTGGCTACCGCGTGCGTCGATGAGTGAGTTATTTTTCTGACTGGTTACGTGCATTGGAATTTGTAAGATATTACATGCAAATCGAGTTTTCGGCATTTCTTTCTGCCCCTGATATTCGAGTTTCAACTTACAGTGATTTGTTCTCTGCGTTGTGGAATTAATCTGCAACAAACATTTCCTTTGCTTTCAGAACGCTTACAGCTTTATATCTTTTAAAGAGTGAATAATTCTTTGCCTTTTGCCTTCCTCAAGGCTTAACATTCAAACAATTGCCAAATCAAGGCAAGTACAGGTTTCACACAAGCACACTTAAATATACAATGTAATGTCTTAAAAATAAATGCTTTATTTTAGAAGAAGACTTTATAATTTTCCTGTTTTCATATTTCATGTCTAATCTTTCTTTTCATCCTGGGTATGACAATAAACAACATCCGCGTCCTGGGTATAATGATAAATAACATCCATGTCCTGGGTAAGACAGTAAACTACATCCAACAGCAAGGACTCAGATCAGGAGGTTTTGAGGAGCGTGGAACCACCTCTTAATTGCTGGTGTTCCCAGATCCACCCTGACCTGGGGTGGTAGCACCTGTTAAGGTCTAATACCAGAAATACTTTGTAATAAAAAAAATTATTACCAGCAATAATTTTTGAAGGAAAAATTATTATCAGCAATACTTTAAAAAAAAAAAAATACCAGAAATACAAACAGTTATACATTCTTTGAAAAAAAATATGACCAGTTATAGATTTCTTCAAGGAAAAATATTCCCAGAAATAGATTTTTTGAAGAAAAACATATTAAGAGCAATAAAAATTTTGTCGGTATTAATAACCCATTGAGGTTGATATGACGTAAAACAAATCAAATCAAAAACTAATCTTTCCTTATTAAAATTTAAAGTCATTCCTAGAGCTTTAGTTATTCTATAAGTGCACATTCAAATAAATCTTAGAACTGGTAATGTCCTTTTTGAAGTATTTTCAAAAGGTTCTCTGCTCAAAAAGGTTGAGAATCTCTTTCTTGCAGCATTAACTGACATTTGTTCCGGTCACTGAAGAAAAGAAATTAAATTTTTTAAAAAAAAAGTGAAAATTACTGAAGCAACTGATTAATCTGTTGCCTTTCTGTTAATTCCTTTTTTTATTAATCTATTAATTTTCTTTTTCACTTATTCTTTTCTTTCAGAAAAATTTTCTTGATGCTTCTTTAGACCAAATGTGGGAAATTGCACCTGAAGATGTGCGTCAGGCATATGGAAAAAATTATCTGTATTACCTACGCACATTTGTTGATATTGGAGTGCAAAGCAGCCACAAAAGCACCCGTCCTATTGTAGAAGCCATGTACCATGCCATTCTAAGCCCATCACCAAAATTCCGGTACCTCATTGGAGGGGGGAAGACTTTTATTGATATCAATACAGTAAGAAATTTAATTTTTCACCTTTTGGAATATGTTTACATTGTTACTTTTTTGTTGTTGATTTCAGGATAGCTTTGTTTTCAAAGAGCAGACCACCCAAGTATTATTTGCTGTTTTACTGCAACTTCTTGAACATTCTTGCAAAATAACTTGTGGTCAAGATATACAAAGTCAATCAAGTCATCAGTATTTTTTTTTTTTTTTTTTAAGTTTTGGTTGTTTTGTTGAGGTTTAATCCTTTCGCATTATAGGAAAGACAATTACAAATATTTGTAGCATATTTGTTTCATAATATTTTTCACTGAATACAAGGCCCAAGAGCCACTCATGGTAGAGAGTTACTTAATGAGGTTGTTGTAAGAGTGTGTATAGCCAAAAGTGCTCGGATATACAGAACTTTCAGACAATATCTACATTATTTATGTCCAGAAAAAAGAAAAATAAGAACACAAGAAAAATTAAAGAAAAAAACTTGACCACCACAATACCTTGTCAGTGGTTTTAATGAAATTTTTATGAGATAAGAATTGCTTCCCAATACACAATTTTATGAGAGAGAGTTAAAGGAGGAGTGACATATGGTCTAAATATTGCTAGAGGTATAAAACTGACTGTCACCATGCAGTGTTGGTTCCAAATCCACAACGTTTATATCTATAAACATTATCTATGATATTGAGCACTCTTCCTCCAGAAATATAGCAAATATTAAATAAAGATTAAACTCTTATCACTTTGGATGCATGAGGGACCAATAATCTAGTTTCGAACTGAACAATCAGACTACTAACACAGATGATTTGATTATGGTGCTGAAGACTTCTGTGGAACCAGTTACATTTTTAGGAAGAAATGGTGCACAGTGTGCCAGAAGTCTCCTAACAACTCTCCTCAGAGTTGTACACATTACCACACTAACTACAGTATTTGCTATTATATGATTAATCCATGTAATTAAACAGTTTCTTCACTAATCTTTTGTTTCGGTGTTTTTCTTGGGATATTATTAACCAGAACTTAACACAAGTATTATAACTGACAATGAAGATTCAAAACTTGCATTGTAAGGATTTTTTTAACTTGCATTAACCATGGATTTGAGAAACACACAATATAGAAGACTTAAAAATCATGGTGAAACCATTATTAGAACAACAGCATAAACAGTTATTGGATCAACAATAACAACAAAAACTGTTATTGGAACAACAACAACAAAAATAGTTATTAGAGCAGCAGCCACAGTGACAAAAACGTTTATTGCAGCAACAACAACAATAAAAATGGTTATTGGAGCAGAAGCAACAAAAACAGTTACTGGAACAACAAAAACAGCTAACACGACAAATATCGGAACATCAGACAAGGATGTTCGTAGTACTATCAGGTCATCCTATAAGTTCTGTCCGAATTTTAACTTTTTGTTAAAATGAATGAAATTTAAAGAGTATTTTATAATGTCTAATGAAGCTGAACATTATTTTTATGTTTAGATGCATTTAAACTGATCAAATTTTATTTCAGAGAACAATAAAATTAAATTTTGTTTGATTAAAACCCTGCTAACATGGAGGTACACAAGAATCATTTGAGGCACATAATGCTTTATGAGTTCAAGAAAGAAAACTCAGCAGCGGAAGCAGCTAGAAACATTCACTCAGTTTATGGAGAGGAATGTGTGAATGAAGGAACTTGCAGAAGATGGTTTGCAAAATTCAGAGGTGGAGATTTCACCCTTGAAGATGAAGATCGAACCGGACGTCCAGTTGAGTTTGATGAAAAGCTTCTTGAAGCAGCCCTTGAAGAAAATCCTGCTTTATCAGTTGAGGAATTGGCAGTGGTTCTCAGTTCAAACCATACAACTGTTCATCGTCATCTTCAACAACTTAGAAAAGTTCCTAAACTTGGAAAATGGATACCTCATGAATTGTCTGAAAACAGTTGCTCTTCTCTCCATTCTCGCTAACTTGTTTCACCTTTTTTGGATAGACTTGTGACTGGTAATGAAAAATGGATCTTTTATCAAAATGTTAAGCGTCATAGACAGTAGGTTGGTAAAGGGGAAGGACCCTAGCCACAGCCGAGAAGGGAACTTCATGGGCAAAAGGTTCTTCTTTCAATCTGGTGGGATCGCCAAGGAATAATCCACTTTGAATTCTTACCACCTGATGCAACAATTAATGCTCAAATATACTGTCAGCAATTAGAGCGTTTGAACCAAGCTTTGAGGAAAAAAAGACCTGCTCTAGTGAATCGAAAAGGGGTGATGTTTCATCAGGACAATGCGCGACCCCACACAACAAGAATCACATCACAAAAGATAGAACTTGGTTGGGAGAAAATTCCTCATCCACCTTATTCTCCCGATCTTGCTCCTTCAGCCTACTATTTGTTTCGTAGCTTACAGAATCATTTGGAAGAAACAGCTTTTGTAACACAGGAGGAGGTTAAAACTGACATTTGTGGGTTCTTCGAATCAAAGCCAAAAGAATTTTACAGTAATGGAATTAGTAAGCTTGTTAATAAATGGAAGTCATAGATAATCAGGGAAAATACATTGTTGATTGAATCTGTAATTAAATGTAACATTTGGTCACTTGTTTTCTTTATTCAAAATTCAGACAGAACTTATGGGATGACCTGATAGTTTGATTTGATTTCTGCAACATTGCTTCAGTTTCATTCATGCCTGATGTGGTTGCAAACTCCATTGGCAAATTTTTATATAAACCTGAAGAAGGTGTTGCATTTTTGTCATATTATAAAAAGTATAACAAGATTTTAAAAAAAGATTGCTATGACTGGCCAGATGAAAAAAGGTTTGTTTACTTTGAAAGAAATTGCATCCATCACAGCACACAAAAATATTGTAATTACATTTGACCTGAAAATCCAGGAAATACTACGTTTGATGAAACTCATATATATTAGGCATGCTTAAATCTCACAAAAATAAAAAAGCAAAGATTTTTTTTTTTTACTTATGTTGGTATTGCCAATCATAAATGCGAAAAATTTAAACTTAAGATTTAATTTTTGTGCAAGTGACAACTATGAGTAAAGACGCAGAAATTTGTTTACATATTTTAGTAAAACTTGAGCAAGACCCTAAATTAACCTTACAGATAATGGCAGGAGAATTTCAAAGAACTCTAAATTCAATCTTGAAAGAAGAAAATACGTATAGAAAAGAGAATGCATATTTTAAAAGAGGCAAGTATTGTGTAGAAAGACAACTGACTTTTGCTACACTAAATTGTTAAACATAGACTCTTCCATTCACTATGAGTAGAACATCAGCTCATAGGACCAGGAATCACTGAGTCATACACATTTCCACACTGACTACAGAATTCATTATTGTCGTATTATTAATCCATATGATTAAACAGTTTCTTCACTAATGTTTTGTTTCAGTGTTTTATTAACCAGAACTACAAGCTTATAGGTCTTCTGTCAAAAGTCTATTGTGGAAGAGGACGCAGCTATTGGTGCTGGAAGCACCACTTACAACCAACTCAGTCTTTTCTCATGCTGACCTGATTCTCTGTTACAACCAGAACATCTCTCTGTAGGAAGAAAGATTGGCATGTCGTTTGTTTTCTGAAGAAAAACCAACTTGTTATTTCTCTGCTAAAAAATGATCGACTTATCATTTAACGCACAAAGAAAGACTGACCTGTCGTGTGTGTCATGAAATAGGCAAGAAATGACTTCTTAATTTTAAACACCTCCAAAACAAAACTGCTCTCTCTTAATCATCTTAGAGAACCTTTCTTGCCTTTCATCAGCAGGACTGATGCAAACCTCTAGGAGAGCAACTCATTGTGACAATTTCTACTGACATCATGTGGAACAATTACATTGACTTAATAGCTAAGGCAGCTGCTAGTAAAGTTTGTTCACTATGACATGCTTAGCCATTTTTCCTGTCAGAATCTATCTTGCATATTTATAAACCTACCATTCATTTGTGCATCGAATATTGCTACCACATTTGGTCTGATACTTCTGCTATATATCTAGAGATTCTTGACAAAATCAAAATACAAATCTACAATGTTATCAGGGTAAACATTTCAGATGGAGTATCTGTAAAAGGACAATATGAATAAAGCCAAAAGGAAAATTTATCTTAGCCAACATGTTTCATCCTCTGAGGGAATTTATCCAGACAAATGTATTATGTTTGTCGTGATAAAAATCCTCAGAGGATTAAATGTTTTCTATGTAAATTAGTCTGTAAATTGTCATTGTATACTTTGTTAATACATACATTATTGTTTGTTTTACATATTGTTTTGTGTTGTTGTTTATTACTTGGACTGAAATTCAAGTCTGCAATAAGTGTCATGGGAAAAATATACCCGGAAACATTTGTTTTTCTAAATATACACAACAATAGCATCACCCCCCCTCAGAAAAAGGCAAAGTTTGGATCTCTACTTAAGTTTTACATTACTGTAATTGGCAAGTGACCAGATAATATATACACACACACGCACATACATATATATATATATTATATATATATATTATATATATATATATATATATATATATATATATATATATATATATATATATGTTATATATATATATATATATATATATATATATATAATTATTGGATCCCCAAAAAAAAATTGCTTGAAGATGGAACAGAGCTTGGTACTTTAATTCAATTTAATTCAAATAATTATATTGAAGTTTTCGGCTCTTGTTTTGAAACATGAGAACTCTTATGGAGCGATGGAATCATTTTTAAATAAACAATTATATTTAGGCTCTACTTCTGTATCGAGCACTGATGTTTAAAAATAATAACAAAAATACTAAACTTTGGATTATTTACCTAACAAGTTCTTTCCTATATATTTTCACACGCACACATATATATATATATATATCTTACTTATTATAAAACGCAGATTGTGTGTGTCTGTAACGTTTATATATTGGATCGGATTTCCTACATTTTTCAACCGATTTCAACAAAACCTCACAGGACTCCATAAAATTACCTTGCAGTGGTTTTAACAGTGCCAAATATTGGAAAAACACAATTGTTTTTGCACAAAATCAATTTGAAAACACAATTAAGAGACATCGTGAAAATGGAAGGGGGACAACTCACATCTGGTTGTTTGGTTGTGTGGGTTCCTTTAAATATGGGAGTGGATTTCCTATATTTTTCAGCCGATAAAACAAAACTTCACTTTTTTTTTTTTTTTTTTTTTTTTGGCAGGTAGTGTTTCTTATTCTCTTGCACACTTTTTTCTTTATTTTTAACATTCAGAATGCTTTAAAAATTCCATTTACAAGACAATTATTTATAATAAAATTCTATTCAATTGGGAGACTCATAACGATTGAAAACAATGTTTTCGTTTGAGTTTGACCAATTCGTAAAAAATAAAAACTAATTAAGACATGCATGTCCGCCAACCTTAAACAATAATCTAACGATCTCTACTGATTGTACGAATACAAACATTAGATAAATTCTTTATCTTTAGGGAAAGATAATGAAATCTAAACATACACAAGTCTTAACTAAAAATAATAACCGGAACGGGGGAAACTACTTTAAATACACATGGTGTCCAATTTTTTTTACTGTATTCAATAAGTAAAAATCATAAATTGTAAAAGATTATTATTACAGAAAGGCTACTAAATGAATAAGATTTGCTAGATCATAATTAATAAACCCAAATAAAGTTAATATTTTTTGTATTAGAAACGAGTGGAAAATATATTCAAATCAGAATTCTAATTATGAATCACCACAAGCAAAATATGCAATTTTTTTTACTGTATTCAATAAGTAAAAATCATAAATCATAAATTGTAAAACTAAAAGATTACAGAAAGGCTACCTACATTTTTCAACCGATTTCAACAAAACTTCACTTTTTTTTGGCATGTAGTGTTTCTTATTGTCTTGCACACTTTTTTCTTTATTTTTACATTCAGAATGCTTTAAAAATTCCATTTACAAGACAATTGTTTATAAAATTATTCTATTCAATCGGGACACTCATAACGATTGAAAACAATGTTTGAGTTTGGGTTTGACCAATTCGTAAAAAAAAAAAAAGAAAAAAAAAACTAATTAAGACATGCATGTCCGTCAACCTTAAACAATAATCTTTGTCAATTTTATTTTTCAGTCTTTATGATGGTGGATACTTGATCTATCTCTTACTGTTATATCCCCGGACAACGCCAGGCTCTACTGCTAGTACATATATATACATATGAAAAGGATAATTAGTTGTTGTTGTTTCTGTGACTAAATTTTTTTTTTATTTTAGCTGACATGCTTTTCTTTCATCACACAATCATGAAGTAGTGGGAAAGGGCAGGTAACTTGATTCTGAAGTGATTGTGTGTGTGTGTGTGTGTGTATATATATATATATTTCAGGTAAAGTATATTTGTAAAAGGGGCAATATGAATAAAGACAAAAAGAAAACTTAGCCAATGAGTTTCATCCTTTGAGGGACTTTATCAGAAGAAGAAAAAATCATCAGCTAAGTTTTCCTTTTGACTTTATTCATAATGTTATCAATATTGATTTTGCACCTTGATTTCAGTCACATTCCAACCGACATAACTTCCTTGTGCCTGTACCTCAGTTTTATGAATCTAAGTGCATTGCTAGTTTGGCAGCTAATTCTTGTCATTTCATTGTTGAAATTGCTAGAGATAACTATAATTTCTATGTTAATACCATCTTCTCCCACACTTCTCACTCATTGAACTCTGTTTCTTGCTTTCTGTCAACTACAATCTTCAAAAATTTAAATACAATGTCAAGTGACATTTTCTGTCTCCTTGAATCTTTTACTAATTGTTGTCCCCATCTTTTTTGCCATATTCACAACATTTCGGCCTTTGTACACTCCAGCTTTCGTCAAGTGATTGGAATTTTGAACTGAACTCTTTATTTCATCCACCTAGCTAGATTGTTCTAGTTCTACATACCATACATACTTCTGGATGTATCAGTTATCTCCCTTTAACTTAACTCTGCCAAGTTTTTGCTCACAACTGCAATAGCCAGGTATTGAACACATCTCTTTGGGTCAAATCACTGGATCCAACTAACACTTTTATCTATTGGTGCATAAATAATTATCCTCATCTCAGAAATATAGACAGATCCTTGAATACTGTTCTGTTATTGTTCTCTCTGTTTCTTTCACTCTCATTAATGTGTTGAATCTTAGTGGCTTTGCTTGGGGTGAAATGATTTAAAAAGAAAAAAACAAAAGAAATTGTCTCCTAAAGAAAAACTGACCTGTCATTTTACAGAGAAAGATGCACTATTTAAAACTATAACACAAGTTCTTGGTGGCCTTTCTAATTTCATTCAGATTTTACTCAACAATACAAAAATTCTTGACTGCTCCAACTGTAAAAAACGATTACAAATCTTGCCTTAATAACTGCTTTTCAAGGAGATTCTTTATTTGTTCAACTCCATGTATTCTTGGTTTTCTATTTATCAAGAATTTCTTTTGTTTTTCTTTGCCTACTTTAATTCATATGCCTTTTTAGACTACCATAACATGTTTATCCTGTATTAATTATCTTTCATATTAAGACTCCATGTTCAACATCTAACCAAAAAGCCTTGCTCTAATTCAGGACATTCTTAATAAACTTGTTTCTTCCTTCTGCTCTACCTGTCCATCTGATAACATTCAGTCTTCACCATTCTTTGTCATTATAGAATTTACAGGTTCAGGTTTAAGAATTTTGTTGGAACTGAAACTTTAGATTTACCCCTAAGGCTTGTTTCAGGCTGCTTGTGGTTCCACCTCAACTACGTCCCATTCTTCAATTTCATTATCTGATTTAACACTACCATTTATCTCACAATTTAAGAATCTGCAATGTTATTGATCCTGACCTAGCATCTCTGCTTCAGTCACTTTCCCACCATCATAACAGCTTCTCAGTCCCTTTTCTATAAATGGTAATTGTTCTGATGAGGAAAATCTTTGGTCTGTAGACTTTGAATTTAAGCAGAATATTAGATTGGTGGCAAGATCTCATAAATGTATAGTTGAAATCGCTAGATGTAATTGTAAGTTCTATTCTAACAGTTTCTTTTCTCACATGTGGAAACTCTTTTGGCTTCTTGCTTTCCAGTCAACTTTGACATTCAAAAATTTAAATGCAATATATAAGGTATATATGATGTATATTATAAATGTTATATAGATTAAATAGAGGAAATTAACGGTTTTTAAATATACAAAACATTACGTACACACAAACACTAGAATGGAATGCAAATTACAAAATAGTACATCAATAAACAAACACAAATATCAAAGTTTGTTAATTTTAGAAAAAGATAGCAGAAACTAAAAATAAAAACTGGCACCTCATAAGCGCAACTGCTTTAGGTAGATAGAGCTCAAAAGCCCAGTATGGCAGTCCATCTAGGTGAAGGAAAATATTGATTTTTAAATCTCCACTGTTGTGTTCATATCCGAACATGGAAAAGGCTATGAAAAACCTGGAGTGGAGCCCCAGAGGCTGTCAACGCTAATTGCCAATTTTCTGGCAACTCCTGCAGCCAAACCAAGCCGTCCCCCAAATGTAATGCTTTTTATTCCTTTCAATGCTGTTGGTATGACCAAGAAGTGGAGCCATGTAGTCTGGGGAGCACATGGCCTCAATATATCATCACTCGGGCATACACCTTGAAGGGTACACTCTAGTTTCACTATCAAAGGACAATTTTAACCAAACAGGCCACTACCTTTGAAACAAAGCAATCAACAGAAACTGTCAAACACTTTATTATTATCTGTAATAAAAAGCTATATCAATAGAAAAAAAACATCCTTTTAAGACACCTTCTTTTTATTTTTTTGATTAAAGGCTAAACAAAGTTTTTCAAATGTTTTCTGAAATTTGAGGGATCATGTATTCTCATTATTTGGAATAATGTCCTTGTCATTATTGTTTTTATCACTGAGTTTTGATTGTATTTATTCTCTGATCACACCAGTGGTCACTAAATTTTGGTCATTGCAGTTGGAACAATAGTGAAAACCCAGTAAAAAGATGATGATCAAAACAATAAAAATGAAGATACTAATCTGAATAATTCGTGAAATAATGATTGTTTAACTGTTGTCTAGACATAACAAGTAATTTAATTTTCTTTTGTTCATCAGGTTTTTACTTATATGGCCGGTGTAGTTCCAGAAGCTGTGATGGACTTCATTCTGAGAAAATATCACCTTTCCGGTTTTCCTGTTCAACAACGTATAGAAAAATAAATAAAAAAAAAAAAGTTTATTACTTATGACCGCTAGTCAACCGCAATTTGTCATCCAAAAGGCTTGGAAATATTAATGCCATAATCAGCTTTATATGCTTCTATTTTTTTGACTTTAATAATTTGATTGCATTTACAAAAGAAGCTGACCATTTTTATATTATATTATATATATATATATATATATAATATATAGAGAGAGAGAGAGAGAGTTCTAAATTTATACACTAGTTTAAGTAAAATTATATTAAAAAAAACAAATGTGTACGTATTTAAAGTCGGATTAATGGTAGGTAATTGAATGACAAAATGGAAACAACTCTATATAACATGTTTCAAAATTCAAAAGGACTTCATTAAGAAAGCTTAAACCAAAATAATATATAATTCTATTAATAAGAACATTATTTCCATCTGATGAAGTCCCTTTTAAAGATGAAACATTTTATAGTTATTTTTCTCACTCAATTACCAATCATTTTCATTTATGCAAATTTCATTATTTTTTGGCGGGTGGAGATATATTTGAACTGAATTCAAGATCTTTTGAATAACACGTTTGTTTTGCTTTGTTCAAATATGACATTTGGTTTCTTTCAGGAATGTCTCATTTTTAAGAGATATTAAGTTTTTTTAAAGTGGGACCAATAAAAATGGTCCTAAAATGGGGGTTCAGTTTACAATATAAATACAATGCCAAACTGACAGCCTACGTTCAATTTTACGTATGAATCGAATGTAAGCTGAGGGACTGATTTTGTGCTTACTTAAATTTAAGAAACCTATTTTTTCTTAGAATGGTGGCACAGAATTAGAATGCACTTTTGCAGCCATATTAACATAAAGAATGATGCAAAGTCAGTTTTGTATTTGATTCACCCATCAAATTGAACAACAGTCAACTTAATTATTCTTGGAAATGAAAAATTTCCAAAAGAAATATTACATTTGAACAAAGCAAATCAAACTACATGTGAAAAATGCACTTTCATGCAAAAGCATTTTACTTCCATTAATGAAATCTTAACTTTTTGTTATATTTTCATATCTTTCCAAACAAATTGATTATAAAGGATTTCTTTCCATTTGATTTTGTAGCAGACACCTTTGTCAAAACGCCTTTCTTTCAATTAACTTTTGCTTGCCATAAGAAATATGGTAGCCATATTTTCAAAATTAAAAACCCACCTCATGAATTAAATTTGATGGCTTGGGCAGTTAATTTGCAGTGTAACACCCATGCTCAGTTCACATAAGAATTTGGGGAATACTTACATTTATGTGTAATTGGACATCCTCCATTCAAATCTGGCTTGATAAATTTGATAAAATCTACTGTTTTGGAGTTTTTGACATTGAAAGTTCAGATTCATTCGCGCCACGGGCAGCTATTACTGGTGTTGTTTGCATACATTTACTGCAGAATATCTATCGGTGTAGGTATCATTGCGCAAACTGTGCATGTCTCCATAAATAGTTCTTGTGCACAGTAATTAAGACAAATTCGGACACAAAAGATCAGTTCCGAGCTTAGCTTTCTGTAGTTGTCCATGTTTAGCTTTCCACATTGAATGTATGCAAACAATACCAGTAATGCCTGCCACCAATGACACAAATGAATCCAAATTTTCACTGTTGATAACTCCAAAACAGTTGATTTTATCAAATTTATCAAGCCAGATTTGAATGGAAGATGTCCAATTACACATAAATGTAAGTATTCTGGAATTTTTTAATGCAAACTGAGTGCGGGTGTTACACTGCAAATTAACCACTTGGGCTTCCTTTTTAATTTCTATGAAGTAATTTAATTCTTTGTAGATGTTTAAGTATCAGAATTTAAAACTGGAAAATGACTTTCTGGCTACTTTGTGTACAAATAATAATTTTGTTATTCAACTTTTTGACTGTTTATGTACCTGGTGTAGAAAAACAAAACAATGCCAGATGTAATATGAAGAATTTAATTTGGAAATAATGTTATGTTTAGTGTCCAAAATTCAAATTGCCTACTGGTTAATTCTCTTGGACTTTTTGAGTGATTATTTTCGATCGTGTCTTTCTAAATGACACTTCACAAAGAATTTATTTTATTTAAAATCCAGTGAAATAAAAAAATTTTTTTTTTTCTTTTTTTTTTTAAAATGTTGTTTTTGAAGTTCATGTTGTTGAGACAATTTTAAAAGGTTTTCTCAAAATCAACTGTATATTATTAATGTTATAAATCTTATAATCTTATTAATGTTGTTAAATATCTTTTTCAACTGTTTGCAATATGAACTATGTTTTTTGAGGGGTTTTATTGTGTGTGTTTTTGTTTTTGTTTTTTTAAATCCAATTTTTGTTTTGGGGTTTCTTTCTCATTTTGCAGTTTAATATCCATTGTCAAGATTCTGCAAAACCAAAACATTAACCAAAGAACTCTAGTTGTGCTGTTAAATAACTTTGTCAGATCTCAATTCTCATATGAAAGTCGTGCATGTCGCCTAACTCATTCAGAAATATATAAGCTATCAGCTATGTATGTATGTCTGTACGTACGTACATACATCCTTCCTTCCAATGACTCAAATTGGCTTCAAGTGAACGAATCCTCTAGGTTTTAAAGAAGACTCTCCTGCAGAATCACAAATGATCAACTTCACCAAATAACGAAAACCACATTACTTGAAAACTTCCAACAGAAACCACTAAAATAGATGGCACATATAACTCAAAGGGAAAATAATATAATCAAGATGTAGACCTTCCTCACTAGGTTAGGAAGGAAACTCTTGTCAATACTAGAAAGAGCAATAAGTGAGGCCTATTTTATTGAATAAGTTTCAACTGACTAATTTCAATAATTGTGTGTGTGTGTGTATATATAATTTTTTTTTTTTTTTTTTTTTTTTTTTTTTTTTGAGATTTGAATAATTTCACATAATAATTCGAGTCTAAAAGGCGAATCCACAACAGAATACAGAAAGTATTGGACAGCTATTTCATAATTTTTGGGAATCATCAGCAGTACACATCCACCCACCAAGAATCAAACCCAGAAAATTACAATACAACGCAAGCATCATACCACTGAGCCAGCAGGCCTCAGTAACTAAGAGGAAACTAACTAGACTCACAGATACTCATCCAACAGCAATGTCTTCTTTCACCAGGCCACTCCATCCAGAGCATTAATCCTAGATCAAGCATAGGCTCCCTCCATCAGAATTTGGCAAAAGGTGGGTGAGTCTTGTACATTTGTGTCAAGTAAAAGTAGCTGACTTAGAGTGGCATTTTGATGCCAGTTAGACATCAGGATATTGTTCTCTTTGCTTTGAACCCCGCCCCAGGTTTAGGCTAGTTTGGGTTTGCATTTTCTACTAAGTTTCTACTTTCAAGTTAACTTAAATAGGGTATCTTTGTTCACTGGCCCCTTTTATTTCTGTCCCTATTTTCTTTAGCTTACTTCCCTTTCCCTCCCCTATTTAGGTGAGCAGAGATGTCAGTTCTCTGGTGGATGCAGGGCACCATTCATTTTGGGTGTGATTTTTGTACTTGTTATGTTTGAGTGTTTGGATGAATGAGTGGCTTATAATTTTTAAGGAAGTCCAACATTGATTTTGTCTAGTTAAAACCAAAACTGTTATGTCCCCTGGTTGGCAGCTGATGAGGGCAGGGTATTGCTTGTGCTTTTACATGTCATATGTAGAAAATTGTAAATAAGCAACAATGAAATTAATGAGTAATTTTTAAATGATACATGATTTAAAGAAAAGAACTATTCAGATATAAAAGTTATCTTCCTTGGATTTTCTAATTTTTGTTTTTTCAGTGAAGTGAACCATTCAACCAAGTGAAAATAAGATTTAACAGTTTTTAGTGAAATCAGTTGTTGGGCAAATAACATTCACTGTTATAAACAGGACCCTAACACTATATGTACAGATAATTAATATGTGAAAGAAAATAATGATTGCCCATTATAAATTACAAACAAAATTTATTATTTTAATAATGTGATAGCTGAAGCATTATCATTTAGATCAGAAATAGGACAAGAACAGTGCAGGTTTGTCAAAAACACTAGAACAAGGAATGTAATATTTATGCTCAGAATGATATCTGAAAGATCAATACAATGTAAAAGTGTTTGATAAAGTATGTCACAAAATCTATTGGAACTGTTAGGTTACTATGACATATTTGGAAGGGATTTTAGAATAATCCAGACCCTATACAGGCAGCAAACTTCCTGCATATGAATAGATAATGAATTCAGTAAATATACAAAAATAGAAAAGGGTGTGTCTTCACACAAAACTTATTCAACATTTACAGTGAGGCAATTCTGAGAGAATTAGAAGTGTTATCAGGATTCATTATTGGCAGCCACAATCTTAAGAACATTAGATATGCAGATGATGAAGTGTTGATAGATGCAGAAAGGAAACTATTAGAACTCCTACAGGAGGTAGTGAAAGAAAGTGCGAATAAAGTTGTCTAACAACCATGCATTTCTAAAATGAAATACATGGTTGTTAGACAAAGGAACAGTCCAACATGCAAATTCCAAATTGGAGATATCAAAATCAAACAAGTAACAATTTAAATATCTAGTGTTTTAACAGAGGATTGAAAGTGTCACGCTGAAATCAGAAGATGCATTAGGATAATGAAAGATGCCTTCCAAAAGCTAAGCAGATTATTAAGAAACAGAAAAATTTCATTAGAAACAAAGAAAAGTTTTTTAGTTTGGTTTGTTATGTTTTATGGCATACAAACCTCAATGGGTTATTTAATGCCATCAAGATTTTTATTGCTGGTAATATTTTTTTTCTTCAAAAATGTATTGCTGGTATTAAAACCTATTTTTACACTTTCACAGTGTTTTGACCCCAGTTTGCAGGGTGGACCTGGGAACACAAGCAATTAAGAGGTGGTTTCACACTCCCCAAAACCTCCTGACCAGAGGCCTTGCTGTTGTGCTGTTGGACGTAGTTTATCGTCTTACTCATGATG